GTATTTTGGAAAAACCCTTACGGCTAGTTTCGCTCGAAGCAAACACTTTGAAACAAAACTCTTGATATAAAAGTTGTTCAGAATCGACTTCCGGAGTCCCTCACGAGAGCTTTTTATAATATTTTCTTTTTTTCCTTTTTAAATTGAAAGGTACGAAATTTTAGGATTTTAAAAATCATAAAATTTAATATAAAAGCCCAAAACAGAAAATTTTAAAAAAAGCTCTCGTGAGGGACTGCAGAATTTGATTCTGAACAACTTTTGTACCAAAAGTTTTGCTTCAAAATACTTGGTTCGGGCAAAACTAGCCGTAAGGTGAGGTGAAAAAATCTTCGGTAAGCGAAAAACCAGCGATATTTTCAAGTTTTGAATTTTTTCTTCAAGCCTTCCCGATTTGTAGAGGACACTTCGAAGTGTATGTTCGAAAGTTTTCTCGAGTTAATGAAATTATCTGGCTGAGAAAAAATTTAATTATTTAAAACAATATTGTTAAATTTTGGACTTATCAGACTTACCGAGCGACCAAAAATGAATCCTAAAATTTTTAAGGAAGACTATATTGTAGCCCGTGAAATTCTCTATCAGATGAGGTATTGCTTGAATTTTTTTGTTGTGCTGCTATTTTACAAATAAGACTTTATGCTAGTAGAGTAGGCTAAATTAACGTTAATTAGTACTAATTGGCCAATAACGGGAAAGAAAAGACAAAAATTTTTACATATTTGTTTCTCAGCCAAATAACGTCAGTAAGCCGAAAAAACTTCAGGACATATACTTTGAAGTGTCCTCTACAAACCGGGAACGCCAGAGAAAAAATCTAAATGGGGGGACCCCCCTTAATGGTGAAATTTAACTAAATTATCTCAAAATGCATTTATGGGGGTAATAATGAAATAAAGCATATCGAGGTGGGGTTATAATTGTTATCAATTATGAATTAAATTCAGTTAAAATAGATATTCTGATATGTTATGATATTGAATTTCCTGAGCCAATGAGATGTTTAACATTGATGGGTGCACAATTAATTTTGGTATCAACAGCATTAGTCAAAGATAAAGATAATGTAAATGTTGATATAACAACGAAAGAGGTAGTAACACGTGCTATGAAAAATCATGTATGGATTGCGTATTCAAATCTTTATGGTCTGTATTTAAAAGAAGAATCAACACCTGAATATTGTGGTCTGTCTTATATTGTTAGTCCCGATGGTAAAGATCTGCGTCGTGCAAAAGACAATAATGACAACGATGAATTAATAACAGTTGAATCATGTCCACAACATTACAAAGAAAACTTACGTAGTACACCTTATTTAGTTGATAGACGTACAGATCTGTTTCAATTGATAGCAAATACAAATATGAAATTTGTATTGCCCGATAATTATTCATATCATTAGTCAAGGATGACTAAAACAAAATTTCAATTTCTTTTTGCTAATTGAATACATTTGTTTAAATAAAATTGGCAAACTTATAACACGCCACAAACAGGTAGGCGTACCTGTGTTTATTCAACCCGCTTGTTTTCTTCATATAGGTGGGCATTTAGAACTTATTGCCTTCTACCAATGAGCTTATTGTTATTTGCCCTCTTTCTTAATTTTTGAACACTAATAAGCGATCGAACGTATTTTATTGTGTTAAATATCAGTTTATTAGAAAAACAGCGAAAACAGACGGAAAATGTGCTTTATTTTAGTTTAATATACAGAAAAATCTTTTTGAAAACGCGAATTTGAACAAAAAATCTTTTTTCTGATCTGATTCCGTGCATTCTCTGGGATGTAACGCATATTTTTTATTTTTTGTACTTGAAGTCAAATTGTCGCTTACATGTATGTATTTCAAGGGGTAAAAAGCACATTCGGGAATGGGTACAAAATTTCTGGAATGGCATTCAGGAATGGCAGACTGGCATTCTAGAATAAGAGAAAGTTTTTTGTTGTGGTTCTAAATACGAGCAAAAATTTTGAGTCTGTAACGAAATAAAGGTATCAGAAGGACCAGAATTTATTTTATTTATTTGCTACCATCCCGTATGACAAAGAAAAAGATGTGGTTTGTCGTTAGGAAAAGCAATGACGCATAAACAATTATTTACCTTGTACACGTAAAAGTC